CCACTTGGCTCACCACTTGCCCACTTGCCCACTTGCCGACCTTCTAGAAGACTACAGCTAAGGCTTCTAGACTTCGCTAAGACTTCTATTCGACAGACCTACAGATCGAACCCCTACAACCTACGGACCTATGACAGCCTACCAGTTKCTTACGAGTACACAGGTCACGGGTTCAACTCTCGGGGTCTACACAGGTACTGTGCACGGTAGGGTAAGGAGTAGGGATCGAGCCCTGGGATCTGCATCTGCTACTGCAAAAAGGTGAAAAACGTTTCAAATAGGTCCACCTGCGTCGCCATCTGCTCTCTTTGTTTCTTCACCTCCTCCAATTCTTTCGCCGCCTTGCTCGCCGCCTCCATTCTCCTTTTTCTCTCCCTCATCAATCGGAACTTCCACTCCATCCTCTTCTCATCCTCTATCGCCTGCCGCCTGAGTGGGTCTTCTTCTGCATCCCACATTCTCATGGCGGCCTCTTGTTCTTCCCTGGGCACATACATTAGTGCCTCTTCTTCTTCCCCCAGGGACAAAACAGCAACCCACTTTGTAATTTTCTTCTCCATCTGGTCTTCCTTGGTACCACTGGATTCACCTCCTTGCCCCCTTCTTCTCCTCTCCAGTGGCGTTTCTTCTACCTCTTCCTCCTCTTCTACCGCCTTCATCTTCTCTTCCTGCTCTTTTGTTAGCCTCTCTCTCTCTCTGGCCATCTCCTCCTCAATCTTCTTCAATTTCGCCGCCTGCTCCTCCATCAGGGCCTTCTTCTTGGCCTCTTTCTTTCATTTTCTCTCTTTCAGGATGACGGCGGTCTTCGCGTCCGGCTCTACCGTATAAGGGGAGGTGCTCGTTCCACTACGCGTGTCAACCATGGTGATAGACGCACAACCAAGTGATCGTTCCACTCCTCACCACTTAGACTCTCCCCCTAACTCACTCAACTTAAGATTGACTCAATCTATGGACCACAGGGTTCGTAGAGAGCCCTGTCAACTATGGTCTCTAGCCTAGACTCTAATCACTACAGCCGTCACTACAGAACCTGTTGCTGACCAGGAGGCATTTAACGAGATCCCCCGTAACTCCTCAAGAATTCTTTAACGTCCCAGTCAGGACGACGCGGTCAGCAGGTTCTCTCAAGACTTAGACGGCCCGTTGTGCAGCCCACAACTCGGATTTTGGGCCTACCGTGCCACACCGAGCAGCCCGCCGGTCAGTACCGGTCCTTGGGAGGGTTCGTGTCCACCGGGACAGCCGAGTCGTCAGACACAGTCTTTAGCCCTACTCAGCCCGTGTGGGTTTGGTCAACGAGGCCCTATCCTTCATACACGGAGTCCTATCACCTGGACAGAAGAGACTCAATGCAGAAAGAACAGACATACAAACTCAGACTCAGCAAGTACCACAGGGTGAGTGCACATCCATAGGGCGAGGGGATAGGCTAAGGGCTTGGCGAGATTATACCAACTCCAGCTTGGTCAAATCGTGGTCAACAGCTCCGGTCAACACCTTGGTCAACGCGATCAAACCCCGATCAACGCCTGGTCAACCCTCCGGTCAACACCCGGTCAACTCCCGGTCAACCCCCAAGTCGGCTATGGCTGCCGGCACCTTCTTCCTCGCCACCCTTCACTTCTCTTTCCCCCTCCTTCACCTTTCTTCTTTCTCCTCTCTTTTTTTTTTTTTTTTTTTTTTTTTTTTTTTTAAAATTAGGGACCTGTCAGTCCCTACTTTTGCCAGTCCCTACTGAAAGCGAACTTACTCACTCTATCTCAACCCTGTCTCTTATACACATCTAGATGTGTATAAGAGACAGACCCTGGATATCCCACACGCGACTCTCTGAACACTCACACACACTAACACACACTGAACCTCAACTACAGCTATGGCGGGTATGGCCGCC